ATCTACCTTTTCAGCTTGATTTTCTTTTTTTCTCCAGCTTGATTTTCAATTGCTTATCAACCTGAGTGCTCCACTCCAGCTGAACTAGTCTAATTATCATCTATTCCATGAGTCTTGAGATTTCCTTCTGTGTCTGCTCTTAAAATACTGCTATATGTTTATCAGCTGGGTCCTCTAGGAAGGAGGCACTGAGAGTTAGGAGTATGAGAATTTTATGGGAGCTTGATGGGTAACAGCTATGAAAGATAAAATGGGGAGGAAACGGAATTGAGCAGGAGAAAAAACTCAGACCATGATTCAGATCTGACAAAGTCTTAAATGATTCAACAGGAAATCTGGATCATATATTGCCCATTAGAGGAGTACCATGTTGGGCAGAAAAGGCCGGGCCCTAGTACACTTATAATGCTGAGTCACTGGCTGGGGGCTCTCCACAAAGAGCATGGCCTATATAGATCCTAAGGTACTACTAATAGATGAAGGCACTCCTTGCAGCTGATTGGCAAATCCATGGCCACCAGTTTTTCCTTCTGTTCTTCAGTTGTCCAGACCTTGTCCTATTTTTTAGCCCCAGTATGGCAACTCCTGATAGGAGTTGTCATAACTACTATATTTATTTCAAAATATAGGCAATGAGAGCTGGAAATGACCTTAGGGATCATCTCATATTACAGATAAAAAATTGAAACTCAAGGTGCTTGAGCGCTCTCACGCTGGTGTGTGTGACCCATTCAAGATGACACAGCTAGCTAGTCAGAGCCAAGACTGGAACTCAGGTGTCCTAACTCTCAGTTCAGGTTTGCAGTAGCATTAAGAAAACGCTACTCATTTCGAAAGACAAGTGGAGGGTCAGTTTTCACCTAAAAAGTAACTGTAGCTGCTCCAAATAAACTCAGCTTGCTTCCAAGCATGCTGAATCATTAAAATGAAGAAAAAAATAACCAAACTTTTCTTTGAGAAGATCTTTGAGGCTTAATTTAGTCTTAAATTTGTAAAGAAATAGTGATAAAACTGCAATCCTTATGAAAATGTTATAGCCCAGTTCATTTATTTTTATTTATTTATTTTATTATTTTTAGAAAATATATCTTTATTGATTTCAGAAAGGAAGGGAGAGGGAGAGAGGTAGAAACATCAATGATGAGAGTCATCGATCAGCTGCCTCCTGCATGCCCCCACCAGGGATCGATCCCACCTGGGCATGTGCCCTGACCTGAAATTGAACTTCGATCTCCTGGATCATAGGTTGATGCTCAACCACTGAGCCACACTGGATGGCTAACCCGGTTCATTTCTAAAATCACCACTAATCTATAAAAATTCAATGACATGCTATTTTAAAATCTTACACATTAAAGGAATTGAAATGGACCATTGCATTATTACTTCACATTTTGAAAATACAAATGGTTTGCAAAATTATTTTCAATTATGTCAAGCTAGGGGAACACTTATAAAAAGGGAAGGGGTTATTGTTTATATAGCAGAAAGATAACTTATGTTCTAGTTAGCATTTTTTTTATGAAGGGGTGACTTTTATTTTCTGTGTTACACGTGATATTGATTTTAGAATGGAAATGCTTAAACACTGGTCTCAATTGGATCTGCAAACGTTCTTATTTGGAATTCCAAAACGACAGTCTTTGCTACCAAAAAAAAGGAAATTGTCAGTTTTAGTGTTTGTTTGTTTTTTATGCTTTTTCAGGACAGGAATTCTTCAAATATGTTAGTTAACAACCCATATAAAGCAATTCTCATTCTTCCAGATTGTAAAGTTCAAAAATGGGTGTATGTTGGTGAGCATGGGGGGTTAGGCGTTGGGGATGGGAAGTGGTGGGGAGGGGTATGGGCAGATGATGAGTCAGAGTCTGTCAAGCCACTTGTCAATTTCTCAAAACTGTAGAGAAAGATGTGAATGAGGTTTATGGGCTCTAGCCCTATTGGTCCCAACTTTCCTGTTTTAAACCTTGATCAATCTGTTAATTTCACACACCCCTTCAACTAGAATCTCACAGGATTATCAACTAGGTATGTAGATGAAGCTATGCAAACACACAGGGGCCAGCTATCCTGCCTTTGTGTGTGAAAGGTTATATTGCAAGACTAAAATGGGAACTTGAGTCAAAGAAATGCTCTTCAAGTTAGCTTTTGGAAAGTGAAGTGGGAAAAGGGGGAAAAGGATGGATATAGAAAGCCAGAAATCTAAGTCTTGGATTTGATCTGGGCAGGAATTTACTTCTGTGTGTCAGAGGAGCAGGGGTCTCTCAGAGACCAGAGGCCTTTTCTTCCCTGTTTATTAAAGTGGAAAAATTGACTGCTGCTTTCCGCTTTATTCGAGGGTTTCCAAACTGAGGGATTTGCAGGAAAATGTTACCAAATTACCCAGGCTACATAAGATACTGTTCCTTTTGGAATCACTTTTTCCCCCTAAATAGCATAGTAAGAGTTCAATTCTGATGGTACATGCTATCTTCTAACACAGATGAGTCTTTTTAGAGTGAGGCAAGATAAGCACACACTTGTATAAATTATGTGCAACAAGTGCTAGAATCAGCCTCTACCCTGAGTTTTCCCAGCCAGAACATGGCCTTTGAAGGTAAATAACTGACAGAAAATATATTGGGCAAATTTTTCTTTTACTAATCTAGGAAACATATGTAACACACTGGAAAAGCTGTTCCTGAGACAGGAGAATTACTGCATTACTGCCTAAATCACCAATTCACTTACACAAGAGCTGTGGCCTTTACTTACACAGCAGATGGGAGAAAAAAAAATATCTAGGAGCCATAATACTTATGTTGATAAGTATTATGATGGAGAGAAAAGAGCTCTGAGGTCAGAGACATGGCTTCAGCCCTGGCTCTGTGATCTTGGCAGGCCATTTACCAACTCTGAGTCTCAGTATCCACATGTACTATGTGGATAATAATGCCAGTCTCAGGGCTGTTGGAAACTTTGCACGAGATCATGGATGTGAAATAATTTAGAATTAAGAATAGCATGTTCCAGAAAAGTGAAGTTTTATTATTCACCCTTCGAGCTGTTACACAGGAACAAGTGGGGTGTGAATAGGGAACATTGACATCAGGGTCTTCCAGGGTTGTCACATGGTAAGTTCCAAGCTCACAGTGGACACAAGGCTGTCTACTAGATTAGAGAGATGAAAGAGTTTGGAGAAATTTGTCATTTTATCAGGAACAATCTGCAGGGAGGTCCTGCCGCTATGTCTTGGACCAACCCTTGTCTTTCACCTCTAATTCATCTAAGATACTGTGGGTTGTCTACATGGGTGGCCCCAATGGTTCTGTGCTGAAAAGGAAGTTAATTTTCCCAGTTGTTATTAACAGTGAAAGAGCTAAAGGAAAGGTTATGTTGTTTATAGAAGCCAGGTTGGCCCCTGTAGAAGGCCGAGAGGTGCTGCCAAGGTCCAGATGAATACCTGTGGGGTATCAGATGCCAGAGTCCTCATCCTCAGAGTAAGGGCAGACAGGAACTCAAAGAACTGCAGCTGAGACATGCTCTGAATACAGAACTTACTCAAGGCTCAGCTTGGAATAAGGCAGTTTGCTAAAAAACTAACTTCCAATAAGTTAGTCCTCAGATTTCTCAGCAATTCCTGTTGGAATCACTCTTTTTTAGAATTGAGAAATCAAATTTTCCAAGTTAAAGTATTTCATTCATCAGGGCCAGCCTGAAACCTTTTCCACTTCCATCCAGACTCTGAGGATGCAGGGAATGGCCAGCTTCAACCCATTGTCAAGGGATCTTGCCCACCCCATTTTCATTTTCATTTTGGTAAAGGCAGAAGTGAAGCTAGTCACAGTCTGGTAAAGGTTGGAAAGCTTCAGACTGGTCCTGGTATCTTTATTCAATTGGAAGAGTGAGACAACCTCGTAGGATACCCCACAGTCAGTCTTGGTTTGAAAGACCCCGCTAGTGAGAGTAAGGGGACTATAATTTCTAAGTAGACAAGCAGTGGGTGCAGTGGCAGGGTGGGGTAAGCTAGCAGGTGGGCCTCCATGCTCCCCATCCCTGAACAGCTTTTCTAATGATTTTATATGCTGGGGATTCACTTATCAAGTTTGAAAACCCATGCCATAGGGCATAGGTGCTAAGGAAGAGAAGTGTATACAATTTTAGGGAAAACAGAAATTTTGCTCCAGACTCAGTGCTCTTTAGTGGCAAAAAGAGAAAAGGACAGTGATGTCTCTAGACCCTCTGGATTCACAGTAGAAAATAATGAGAAGGTTTGGAAAAGGGAATTCTCTTCTTCAAACCGAAGTTCAGTAAAAGAAGAAATCTTTTCTTCTCTCTGGAGACTGACTTTCTGAAAAACAAGATAAGCATGATGAGGAAGAAGCTGGCTCTGGGGGTTAAATGAGCCCAGGTTTGAATTTTGACCTCACCACTACCTAGCTGTGTGGCCTTGGGCAAGTTACATAGCCTATCTGAACTCCTTTCCCCATCTGTTAAATGGGGTTACTAATGATACCTACCTCTTAAGATTCTGGAAGGATTAAGTGAATTAAACACACGTAAGGCCCTTAGAACAGTGCCTGGCACATATATATATGCTCAGTAAATGTTCACTGTTATTTTGCTAAAGAGACAGTGTCTTTATTTGTAGTAAAGTGGAATTACTTTGTGGTCACACTGCAGCTTAAGCTTAGTGGATAAGACCAAGACCTTTAAAAAAACTGACTCTGGCACTTACCTTGACTTTGGGCAAGTTACTTAACCTCCCTAAGCCTCAGTGTTCCTATCTGTGAATAGCATAATAATAGCACCGGCATTATAGGTAGATATTAGTTCTTATTTTGCTTCACTTCTGTGATTCTTGTCATTCTCCTCATCTCTAATGACCTTTTACTTTTCTCTACCTCACAGACATTCCCACAGTCACATGCTGGACGTTGTCATCACCCACACAGGTGGCATCCTTGTCATCCCAATTATAAACATCTATTCTCCAATCACCACCTTCCATGTCATTGGCTTAAGTATTCTTATTACTACATTTTTACATAACCTAATCCTCTATTCCATCAACCTCAATGCCCCATCACCCTCCATCTGTCTATTTTTCCTTCTTTGTACAGTTTAGATACCATGGTTCCTTGTGATAATCACTCACTTGCAACACCCTCAACTCATAGGTTTAGCTGACATTCTAGTGAGGTCTATATATTGCCCTCTCCCCCACTTCACATTAGACTGTAACGTGCCTGAGATCAGGGACCATGGTGGCAGCTGTTCCCTTTGCTTCTCTCAAACACAGCATGGAGCACAGTTTTTGGCACACAAGATGCCCAGTGTGTGTGTGTGTGTGTGTGTGTGTGTGTGTGTGTGTGTGTGTGTGTGTGTATTTGGTGGCTTACTTTTAATAACTTACTGTGGCTAATTTACATTAGTATATAAATTCAAAGCACATACATATATTATCACTTAATCTTTACAGAAACCCTGAGGCGGGCACTATTTTAATCCTCATTTCACAAAGGAGGCAACTGAGCTATGGAAAGGTTAAGAAATGGGATCAAGTTCCTGAAATAGTAAGTAATGAAACCCCATTTGAACCCAGGTCATGAAGATCCTCATGTCATTCCACCCAGATTGTCATTTGTAAGTTCCTACTGGTACCACTTTCAAATTGAGTGTGGAGCTCACAGTCCTGGCCTTTGGCCTCCAGTGTCATTTTCCCTGACTGTAGAGTCCTGGGGTGGCCCTGTATTCTAGACTGAAAACTGGACATCTGGGACAGAGCAAGCTAATCCTATGAACTTGTTCATTTTTCTGAGTCACCTCAATAATCTCAGTTAAATCCAGCTCAGATTTAAAAAAAAAAAAAAAAAAAAAAAACCTCAGCAAGGTTGCTTCTAAGTCAAAATAAGAAAATGGTCAGGAATTTTATAAGATTACAAATGCATGGGCTCTTTGAGATTCAGATGAAACAAACTCTATGAAAATACTAAATAATACAAATGAGGGTTTTTCCCGTTGTTTAAGATTCTGGTTTTTGTGCTACAAGCTGCTCCTCAAGTTTGTTCTCAAGATACAGAGACACTATCAAAAGCAGAACCATGTACTTACTTCCACTGGCAAGGCTGGCGCTGGCAAGGCTGGCGCTGGCAAGGCTGGCACTGGCAGGTCCACGATCTGGGCGTAAATATTTTTTGTCTAGAAAAGAAGAAAAATGATTGAAAATGAAATCTCTAGGGCTGGGTTAGAAAGTGCTCAGTTTTACCCCAGGGTCCCCAAATCATCTGCTCCTCGCTTTATGGACACCTGACATATTTTCTCAGATGCTACAAAAACAGAGAAGCTTCTGTTTTTAAGGTCCCCTGGACCTTGCACTCATCTATGCAGTGTTTCTGATTAAGGGCCAACAACTTCCTCAACAGATCCAGAACCATCAGTCACCAATTAATAGGACTAATGTCAACATTAGCAGAAAAGTGCAAAGAGTTTTTAGCAGTCAAGACTTTAGTGATAAACATTTGAGAATGTGCCTGCAAAACAATTTTGCCATGATATGCCTGGAATATAGTAGATGTTCACTAAGTATTTGGTGAATTAGATTTAAACTGTGTAGAGTTATGTTTGGGAGGAGATAATTTGAGCCATCTGTGTTCTAACCAACTGTTGAAACAGGGCTCTGCTGTGTGTTGCACAGGCATGTACACAAACACAGTTGGCCTAATCTTCCCTCTGAATAGAGTAGAAACAGATTTTTGAAAAAGTACAGGGTGGGAATTTTCATAGGTTTTCCAAGCAAGACATTTTTATAATTTACTCTTTTTAAGTACTTACATTCTTTTTTTCTTATTTATTTTTATTGTTCAAAATATTACAGATTTCCTTTTTTCTCCCCATTGACCCCTTCCACCTCACCCCACCCTCTTCCCCAGTCCCTCACCACACCATTGTTTGTGTCCATAGGTTATGAATATATGCATATAAATTCTTGGTTAATCTCTCCCCCCCATCCACCTCCCTTCTTCCCTCAGAGATTCATCAGTAAGATCCATGCTTCCATGTCATTGAATCTATTCTGTTCGTCAGTTTATTAAGTTCTTTAGATTCCACATGTGAGATGATGTGATGTTTGCCTTTCTCTGCCTGGATTCTTTTGCTTAACATAGTATTCCCCAGGTCCATCCATACTGTCCCAAAGGGTAAGAGAGCCTTCTTCTTTACAGCTGCATAGTATTCCATTGTGTAAATGTCCCACTACTTTTTTTATCCACTCATCTACTGCTGGGCACTTGGGCTGTTTCCAGATCTTAGCTATTGTAAATTGTGCTGCTATGAACATAAGGGTGCATATATTCTTTCTGATTAGTGATTCAGGATTCTTAGGATACATTCCTAGAAGTGGAATCACTGGATCAAAAGGCAGCTCCATTTTTAATTTTTTGAGGAACCTCCATACTGTTTTCCACAGTGGCTGCACCCGTCCGCATTCCCACCAGCAGTGTACCAGGGTTCCCCTTTCTCCACATCCTCGCCAGCACATGTCATTTGTTGATTTTTAGATGGTAGCCATTCTGACAGGTGTGAAGTGATACCTCATTGTGGTTTTAATTTGCATCTCTCAGATGATTAGCAAAGTTGAGTATCTTGTCATATGTCTCTTTGCCATCTGTATGTCCTCTTTGGAGAAGTGCCTATTCAGGCCCTTTGCCCATTTCTTAATTGGGTTGTTTGTCTTCCTCTTGCTGAGTAGTATGAGTCCTTTGTACACTTTGGAAATTAGCCCCTTATCAGATACATCCTTGGCAAATATGTTTTCCCAGACNTCAGGTTCTTTGCCCATTTTTTTTTTTAAACATATCTTTATTGATTCCAGAGAGAGGAAAGGAGAGGGAGAGAGAGAGAAACATCAATGATGAGAGAGCCATTGATCGGCTGCCTCCTGCATGCCCGTGACTGGGGATCGAGCCCGCAACTGGGGCATGTGCCCTGACCGGGAATCGAACCCCAATTGCATTGATCCTAGGTCAACGCTCAACCACTGAGCCATGCCCGACCGAGCTCTTTGCCCAGTTTTTTAATTGGGTTGTTTGTCTTCCTCTTACTGAGTTGTATGAGTTCTTTGTACACTTTGGAAATTAGCCCCTTATCGATATATACTTGGCAAATATGTTTTCCTAGACCGTGGGGTTCCTTTGTATTTTGAGGCTGTTTTCTTTTGCTGTGCAGAAGCTTTTTAGTTTGATGTAGTCCCATATGNGGGTTCCTTTGTATTTTGAGGCTGATTTCTTTTGCTGTGCAGAAGCTTTTGTTTGATGTAGCCCCAATTGTTTATTTTTTCTTTTCTTTCTCTTGCCCTAGGAGATGTATCAGTGATTATTCCACTATGTGAGACGTCTGTGACATTATTACTTATGTTTTCTTCCAGGGTTTTTATGGTTTCGTGACTTACATTTAAGTCTTTTATCCATTTTGAGTTTATTTTTGTGTATGGTGAAAGNTATATTTTGAGTTTATTTTTGTGTATGGTGTAAGTTGGTGGTCTAGTTTCATTTTTTGCATGCAGCTATCCAATTTTCCTAGCACCACTTATTGAAGAGACTGTCTTTACTCCATTGGATACTCTTGCCTCCTTTGTCAAATATTAACTGACCATAATGATGTGGGTCTATTTCTGGGGTCTCTGCTCTGTTCCATTGATCTATATATCTGTTGTTGTACCAATACCAGGCTGTTTTGATTACAGTGGCTTTGTAATANTGTACCAATACCAGGCTGTTTTGATTACAATGGCTTTGTAGTACAGTTTGATATCCAGTAAAGTGATCCTTCCCATTCTGTTCTTTTTCTCAAGATGGCTGCTCCTATTCGGGATCTGTTTTGGTTCCATATAAATTTTTGGAATATTTGTTCAAACTTTGTGAAATATGCTGTTGGTATTTTAATAGCAATTGCATTGAATCTATAAATAGCTTTGGGTAGTATGAACATTTTAATGATATTAATTATTTCAATCCATGAACATGGTATATTCTTCCACTTGTTTATATCTTCCTCTATTTCTTTTTTCAGCATCCTGTAGTTTTCCAAGTACAGGTCTTTTACATCCTTGGCTAAGTTTATTCCTAGGTATCTTACTTTTTTTTTAGTTGCAATGGTAAATGGGATTGTTTTTTTAGTTTCTCTTTCTGAGATGTCATTGTTGGTGTATAAAAATCCCATCGCTTTCCAGATGTTAATTTTATATCCAGCTACCTTGCCAAATTAATTTATCAAATCTAGTAGTACTTTGATGGAGTCTTTAGGGTGTTCTATGTACAATATCATGTCATCTGCAAATAATCAGTTTTACTTCCTCCTTTCCAATTTGGATACCTTTTATGTTTTCTTCCTGTCTAATGGCTGTGGCAAGAACTTCAAATACTATGTTGAATAAGAGTGGTGAAAGTGGACATCCCTGTCTTTTTCTTGTTTTTAATGGAAATGGTTTTAGTTTTTGCCCATTGAGTATGTTGGCTGTACATTTGTAGCATATGGCCTTTATTATGTTGAGGTATGATCCCTCTATTCCCACTTTGCTGAGAGTTTTTATCAGAAATGGGTGATGGATTTTGTCAAATGCTTTTTCTGCATCTTTGATATGATCATATGATGTTTGTCTTTCAATCTGTTTGTGATGTATCATGTTTATTGATTTGTGGATATTATATCAGCCTTGCACCCCCAGAATAAATCCCACGTGGTCGTGGTGTATGATCTTTTTAATGTATTGCTGGATCTGGTTTGCTAGTATTTTGTTGAGAATTTTAGCATCTATGTTCATCAGGCATATTGGCCTGTAATTTTCTTTCTTTGTAGTGTTTTTATCTGGTTTTGGGATTAGGACCATGCTGGCCTCATAGAAAAAGTTTGGGAGTTTTCCCTCCTCTTGAATTTTCTGGGATAGTTTGAAGAGAATAGGTGTTAATTCTTCTTTGAATATTTGGTAAAACTTCCCTGTAAATCCATCTGGTCAGGACTTTTGTGTGCTGGGAGTTTTTTGATTACTGCTTCATTTTATTAGTTGTTATCAGCCTATTCAGGTTTTCTAATTCTTCCTGATTCAGCTTTGGAAGATTATATGCTTCTAGGAATTTGTCCATTTCACCCAGGTTGTCCAGTTTGTTGGCATATATTTGCTCATAGTATTTTCTTACCATCCTTTGCATTTCTTTTGGGTCAGTTGTTATATCAATCCTTTCATTTCTGATTTTATTTATTTGGGTCCTCCCTCTTTGTTTCGTAGTGAGTCTAGCTAAAGGTACATCAACTTTATTTATCTTTTCAAAGAACCAACTCTTGGTTTCTTTGATTTTTTTTTTTTTTGATTTTTTTTTTTTTTTT